GCTGTCCCTCAGCTCTTCAGCTCAAGGCTAGCGCTCTACCACTTGAGCCACAGCGCCACTTCCGGCTTTTTTCTTTCTGCTTATGTGGTGCTGAGGAATCAAACCCAGGGCCTCAGGCATGCAAGGCAAGCGCTCTACCACTGAGCCACCTTCCCAGCCCTTGTTTAGCATATTCTTAAGAATTGAAATTCTATAGGATGTCGCTAGATTTTTACATGGAAAAGTATTCTGTGACCAAGTGATTGGCAGTGTGGCTGTGTTAAATTTAAATGGTGTCCTTAATTTCTGGACTTGACAGCACTTTCTGTACTATTAAGTATGAGTCTCTTCAGGGAGATAGCAGGTGAATAAAAATTTAGTAGGGAACATTTACCAAACTCATTTGTCTGTTATAGTCACCTTTTGTAAAGACTTCATAGAATATACTTCAAATTTACCATGTTAGTGTATTTCTTTGAAAATTTTTGGCTTATCAAAACATTGTCTTCCATGCTTTCTATTCTGTCTCTCATCTCTTGATTATTTTCAGTTTCCCCCAGGCTCTTAAGAAAGGCTGCTCGGGTAAAAACGAGAACAGTGGTTCTGACTCCCACATACAGTGGAGAGGCAGATGCACTTCTGCCTTCTCTGAGAACTGAGGTGTGGACCTGGGGAAAAGGGAAGGAGGGGCAGCTGGGGCATGGCGATGTGCTGCCCAGGTAAGTGCAATCAGCATTCACTGATAAGGACTGGCTTAAACAAATAACTTGTCTCCTACAAAGATCTCTACACATCCATTTCCTCTTACAGGAAATGGGGTCCCATCCAGCTCCAGATTACAATGCATTAGCTGATTCAAAAAAAAAAAAACCTGACATACATACATACATATATATATGTGTGTATGTATATATATCTACGTATATGTGTGTGTGTGTGTATGTTGATCTTTGCTATGTATTGATCTTTGAATACAGAAAATAGTGTTGGGGACAACATGGTATTTCATTGAAATAGTTGAATCGTTAAAATGTATAGCTTACGTTGGGCACAGTAGTATATGCCAATAACCCAGCTCTCAGGAGCTGAGTTGAGGTCAGACCCTTTCTCACCCTCCTCCAAAAAAAATGCCAGTGGGTTTATTTCTTTTAGTGACTTTCTTGCCCATGCTGGCTTAGAACCATAATCCTCCCAATTATCTAGGGTGACAGATATGTGTACCATCATGCCCAACTATTGATTGAGAAGTAGGAGTTCTTGCATATATACCCAAAATAACCCCAAAACAAAATGCTTCTAAAGTGTAGCCCCAGTAATTCACATCTGTAATTCTACCTCCTGAGGAAGTTGAGGTCTGAGAATTGCTACCCTGGGTTAGAAAGTCAGTGAGACTCTTACCTTAACCACCAAAAAGCTGGGAGTGGAGCTGTGGCTCACTAGCCTTGAGCAAAAAAGTTAAGATACAGTGCCCAGGTCCTGAGTTCAAACCCCAGTACTAACACACACACACACACACACACACACACACAAATCCTTCTGATCTCAGCCTCCCAACTAGCTAGAATTACAGGCATTATGGGGGTTATTATGAATTATGGGCGTTAATTAGAGATTGATAGATAAAGACTGAAGTAAAGTCTTCCAAAAATGATTTACAATGTTAAAAAGTAGTGTGAACATTAAATCCATTATTTTTATTTTAATGTTTTATTTCTTTTGCTTGAAGACATTTACTGTAATTTGAGAAAGATCATGGTTCTTGCTGAGAATACTTAATACTTTGTGTTTTTTCTTTAAGACTTCAACCATTGTGTGTCAAATGTCTGGATGGAAAAGAAATCATCTATCTGGAGGCAGGTAGTTACCATTCTCTTGCACTTACTGCAAAATCTCAGGTAAGAGGCAAACTAAAGTATTTAATGCTGATCTTATTTTCATGAAAGGCCAACATAGTATGCCTGGACCATCACTTACTGAGTATCTTCAGTGTCAAACAGTACCTTACTTCATTTCAGCTTTCAAATACTTTTAGTGTGGTTCCTATAGGCTAAGAGAAATTATTTAACTTGTCTTAAGTCCCATACTTAATATTGACTTGGATTTAACACTAAACTGCTTGATGAAGAAGTTTGGGTGGTAGTTGAAAGCGAGCCTAACAAATACAAGGTCCTGAGTTCAAATCCCAATACCACCAAAACCTCCTCCTGCAAAACAACAAATAAAGCTATTAGCTTTCCCTATGTTCTGTCACCTAAAAATGAAATTCATAATTTCCAGGGTATTGATTTTATTTTTTAAAGGTATTCTGCCCCCCACCCCTAGTTCTGGGGCTTGAACTCAGGGCCTGGGCACTGTCCTTGAGCCCCTTTGCGCTCAAGGCTAGTGCTCTACCATTTGAGCCATAGCCCCACTTTGGGCTTTTTCTGTGTATGTGGTACTGACGAATCGAACCAGGGGCTTCGTGCATGCTAGGCAAACACTCTACCGCTAAGCCACAGTCCCAGCCTTAAAAGATATTCTTGAATGAAGAAAATCCATAGTAGACATTAAAAATACAAAAGACATTTTTCTTTTTCAATTGTGAGATCTAGAAGGGATTTCTGGCATATTTAAAATCATTTTTTTTCTCATTTATATAGAAATCTTCCTAAGAAATTGCTTTTAGTTATTGTTTTTATCGCTCAAGGGCTTGGTTCAATGCCCAGTACTGCTGTTCTGCCCCTTCCCCAACTATACACAGTTTAGTAGAACAGAAATAGGTCTATAGAAGAAATCATATGAGTGTTTTGGATGTTATCAAAGTAGTCATATTAGTTCAGGAAATAACACTGAATATTTAATAAATGATGTTAGAACACTGTCTTCTATTTATAAAAGAAAAAAAGTTAAAATTTATGTATTCTACTTGTGCATAGACTACATATATAGCTTAAAAAATACATGATCAAGAATAAAGTCAGGTGATTTTTTTTTCCCCAATAATCTCAAGAGTAGAAAAAAGACATGACATTAAGTGGCAGACTTTCAGCTGAGCAAGCAAGCACAGGGCCCTGGGTTTAAGCCTGGTACTGGCAAAAATAAATACATACATGAAAATTTTCTGACCTCAATTTTATTTTGCCTAGAAATTTTTCTTACAGAAATAGATAGACATATATCTTTACAAGTATATATATTCAAGAATTGTTAGAGCTAAATATATGGTTCAAGTGGTAGCATGCCTGCCTAGTAATGCCCTGAGATTAATAAAAGGGGGGAAAATTTTTTGCTAGCATTAAAAAAAATAATTTAGTAGGTAATTGATTAAAGTATGCCTATGATGGAGTTGTATATAGTTGTTAAAAATGGTTTTGTAGATGTAGGCTTATTGATGTTCAAATGTTAATTCATACCATTAAACAAAAAGAAAAAGCAATTCGATTTAGAAACAGCATTAGTAGTATGGTTACATGGGCTAAGGATACCAGCTCAATGGTAAAGTGCTTGTCTAGCCTAAGGCCTTGAGGCTCTATTCCCAGCATGGCAAAAAAGAAATAATACTCTGTTTTGTACTATATATATATGGGGGGTAGAAATCAGTTTTAGGATTAAATTGTGGCTCTGTAGCTTACAATTTGTTACTTCGGTAATATAGTTAACTTATGTGGGCCACTTTCCTTATATTGAAACAAAAAACAATTGTTGAAGGAATGAAACATTAAATAATACACAGAATGTGGGACAAACAGGGCTTGGTAGCTAGTAAGCACCTAAGAGGTTACTGGTTATTGGTAACCTCTGGATTCTGTGCTCTATGTGCCCTTTATTGCTGATTTTGTTCAGTTATGAATTTTTATAGTTTGGGCATTGTGGCACATACCTGCAATTCCAGTATTGGGAAGTAGAAACAGAAGGATCATAAGTTTCAGGCTAGCCTGAGTTACATAGTGAGATTATCTAAAAAACAGATTTTATTTTTCTTAATTCTTTTTTTTTTTTTGAGACAAGGTCTTGCTATGTAACCCAGACTGGCCAGGAACTCTCAGCTGTCCTGCCTTCTGAGTGCTGGGTGTAGAGGCATGGACTATCATACCTGCTAAATATTTATTTTAAATAGTGAAAATCTAATATGAGTAGTTTATGCGTAACTATTAGTATATGATCATAGAGGCCCAGAGTTGGCCTGTAAGATCAAGATTCATACCTTTTACCTTACTTTACTTTTTTGATAGGTTTACTCATGGGGAAGCAATACCTTTGGTCAGCTTGGGCATTCTGATTTTCCAACAACAGTTCCTCGACTTATAAAGGTATTTTTTTTTTTACTTAATAGCAATTTATCCTCAAATTCTACATTATAACTATATTTGCTCATTGTGTTGAACAAATTTGTAGTCTAACTTTGTTATTTATTTATTTACTTATTTATTTACTTTATTACTATTTGAAGTCAGAAAGCTGACTTCAAACCTCTAGAGGTACTAGGCACTGTCCCTGAGCTCTTTTGCTTAAGGCTAGCCACTAGGCACTGTCCCTGAGCTCTTTTGCTTAAGGCTAGTCACTTAAGCCACAGCTTCACTTCTAGCTTATAGGTGGCCAATTGGAGATAAGAGTCCCTTGGATCATTTTGGCTTTGAACCATGATCCTCAGATCTCAGCCTCCTGAATATATAGGATTATAGGCTCACTACTGCCCAGTCTTGCCCATCTTTTTTGATGGTCTTGAACTTTGATCTTCAAAATCTCAGCCTTCTGAGCATTAAAGGCATGGCCACCAACACCTCGCTCCTGTTTAAAAAAATTTTTTTTTGCCAGTCCTGTACTTGAATTCTGTCCCTGAGCTTCTTTTGCTCAAGGCTAAAACTCTACCATTTGAGACACAGTGCCAGGTTTGCTAGGCAGGAATTCTACCACCAGCTTCTAGCCTTTAAGTGTTCTTAATTTTTTTTTTTAACATGAAACCACTTCTTTTCAAAACTAAATGCACTTGTAAGAAATGTGTTTTTTTTTCTTTGCCTTATTCACTGAGTATATTACCTTATTCTTTTTTTAAACAAAAACTTAAAGTACTTTCACTTAAACTGAAAGTTTTTAAGAATGTGATATTTTCTGAGCTTTTGCTATCAAATGATTACTCTGACTTCTCACTTTAATTTGCCTTTTACAAGCCATTTTTTTTATGGTGTTGCATTTATAACAAATATAATAGTAAACCTTTTTTGTGAACTAAAAATATAGGTGACATTTTCACTACTGAATGGATTTGGTTTAGTTTATTAAATGCTACTTCTAGGTCTTCATGTAATTCTTTTATTTTATTTTATTTTATTTTTTTGCTGGTCATGGGGTTTGAACTCAGGGAATGAGCACTGTCCCTGAGCCTCTTTATGCTCAAGGCTAGTACTCTGTCACTTGAACCACAGTACCACTTTCAGCCTTTTCTGAATAGATTATTGGCGATGAGTTTCATGGACTTTCCTGCCCCAGCTGGCTTCAAGCCGTAATAGTCAGATCTCAGCCTCCTGAGTAGTTAGGTATTATAGGCTTGAGCCACCAGTTCCTGGCTTCATATAATTCTAGAACAGTGTTCTTCAGCTTTTTTTTTTTCATTTGCTGTACCATCCTGAGTTTTTAGCTTTTCTTTTCTTTTTTTGTTGGAAGTACTAGAGTTTGAACTCAGAGTCTTGTTCTTGCCAGTTAGGCGCTTTACTGTTTGATCCATGCCTCTAGTCTTTTTTGCATTGGTTGTTTTGAAATAGGGTCTTGCTTCTTGCATGGGCCCATACTTGGACTTTTGAATTCTTTTATTTTGCTTCCATAGCTAGGATGATAGGTGCACACCACCATGTCCAGCGCATTCCATTGAGTTAAGAGTCTTCCCAAGCTGGCCTGGAACAGTGGTCCTTCTAATCTTAGCCTCCCACAAAGCTAGAATTACAGTCTTGATCCAACATACTATACCACAGCTTCTTTTCCTCCTCCTCCCTTCTCTTCTTTTAGAAAGGTTTGGATTTTTTTTTTTTTTTTTTGGTATGAGACAGTGTAGTGTGCATCTGAAGAATCATAGAAAAATGTGATATGGAGCCTGTGTTTATGTAGCTTGCTTATGATAACACTCTTGTCCCAGGAGAAACTCTTTTATTGAGAATAGCCTAAAAAAAGGGTAGTTACCTCAATGTGAGGATAACTATACTATAGTATTCCAATTATTCATGTGTCAAAGACACACTCTGTGTTTGTTACCAAGACTCTTATTGATGCTTTTCTTTTCAGTGAACTTAATTTTACTGGGAAGAAATGACTTAACAAAACAGTTAAGAATAAGCTACTGTTTCTTGACTCAGTCTTCAATAATAAGCCATCTGGTGTCTATTACTGTTTTTTTTAGTTAGTTAAATAAAGTAAGAAGTGAACCTATCATACTAAAGAAAGTTTTATAAAACATTGTTGGAGATCCTAGAAAGTAAACATTTATTTAGCATTTTAGAGATGAGAGAACAGAATTTGTTACAGGGTTTTACTTCATTCTTTCATGGTATATACAGAAAAGTACAGTATCAAGATTTTGACTTTTTAAAATACATATTTGGGGAAGAGGACAAAGAGTTGTAAGTGGTGCTGGAGATTGAACCTGGTGCCTTATGCATGCTAGGTAAATGCTCTAGAACTGCACTATCCATCCTGCATAGATAAAAATGATTTTTGAGGGGCCGAGAAGGTGGCTCAATGGTAGAGTGCTTGCCTTACATGCATGAGGCCCTGCATTTGATTCCTCAGCACTACATAAGCAGAGAAAGCCAGAAGTGGCACTGTGGATCAAGAGGTAGAGCGCTAGCCTTGAGCTGAAGAGCTGAGGCACAGTGCCCAGGTCCAGAGTTCAGGCCCCATGACCAAAAAAAAAAAAGAATGATTTCTGAAGTCATTCTAGATAACCTATGAAAATTAGAAGTTAAGACAGTGAGATTTGCATTTGTTTTGATAAGAAATTAAGATTACATATTTGGAATCCTTAAAAAACAAAAACAGGAGGATTGTGAGTTTGAGTTCAGTCTGGGCTATGTAATGAGGCCCTATCTCAAAAAAAGAAGGGAGGGAAGTTGTACTCTTTTCTTCTATGGATGTTTTAATTCACTCATTTGGATAGCTTGAATTTGAGGAGAGAATGTCTTGTCAGAAGAAGATAGTCATGTAGTAGTGGAGATAGACACAAGTACACACAGGTTCTCACAGTCCCCTACTACTTGGATCTTATCTAGACATAAAGAATCTAATGGATTAGGGTTATCTGTATAAGAGTCAAGGGTGAATCTAGATCAAGAGATTTGGGGTAGTAGTTTTGGAACAGTACACTTTGTTCTGTGAGATCTTCTGTGGAATACCATGTACAAAATAGATCAATGTCAACTGCTTTAGTTGAACAACTGGAATGTACCTAGATCCCTGGTACTTGCCTTTGCATTGTAGCTTGTAAATCACTCCATAGGTCCTAAGGTTTGAAATTCAGTTGTTTAAAGCAGTGATTCTTAAACTTCTGTATATATGTTGGAATCTTCTGGAGGTCTTGTTAAATCAGTACTGGATCCCCTTCTAGGTAACTGTGGGGCCTGAGATGTTCATTTCTACCATATTCTAAGTGATCTGCTGCTGCTGTTGCACACACCACTCTTTAGAAACCACTAGTCTAGAGGTCCACATACATGGACTGCTCAGGGGTTCTTGCCTGTTTCAACATCAGAGAAGTAGTTAGTGAGTTATCATTGGGGAACTGAATTTTAGCACCTCACAGCTTAGTTGTCAAGAATGAAATTTACCCTTATTAGATCTTTTTGGTTTGCTTTGAGTTTTGTGCACAGATCTGAATGTAAATTGACAAATGTGCATCCTAGACATCAGTTTTAGAGTAGGGCTCTAGAAATTTCTGGAATTGTTGATTGTAATATTGAATATTTATAGAGACTTCAAAAACATAAAAACTTAAATCCATGGGTTTTTCTTTTTAAATTCTATTTTTCTGATTTTTATGAAAATCAACCAGTTCATGGCCAGGTTCTGGTAGCTCATACCTATATTCCTAGCTACTTAGGAGATTGAGATCTAAAGATCACAATTTGAAGCCAGCCCAGGCAAGAAAGGCTTAAGATTCTTATGTCCAACTAAAAACTGGAAGTGGAGCTGTGGCACAAAGTACTAGAGTGCTAGCTGTGAGCAAAAAAAACTCAGGGACAATGCCCAGGCCCTGGGGTCAGGCCACATGACCAACAACAAAAAAACAAATTTATTTTTTAAAGTTCCAATTAAAAAGCTGAACATGGGGTTTCTTTTTACTCTGACATTGGTTACACTGCTGAGTGCATGCTGCCCTCTGAGGTATAGCTGACTTTGTATCATACCTGCCTAAGTAACCTAACATTTCAGTTCCTGTGGATCTCAAGCTCTCTCTCATTGACTTTGTCTTGGACCAATAATACCTTTCTGTTATTACAGTTAAGCAGTGAAAATGGAGTCTGGAATGTAGCTGCAGGCCAGGATTATTCCCTGTTTTTAGTGGATACAGAAGATTTCCAGCCTGGATTGTATTACAGTGGCCGACAGGACCCTGAAAAAGGTGCCAGTCTTCCAGAGAATCCTAGTGGTACTAAGACTCCAGTACTTCTCTCTTGTAGCAAGGTGAGCAAGAATTGGATTCTAAGGTCCACATTCCAAAATACAGGAGGTATCTCTTTTATTTAAAATTGAAAACTTTTAAAAATTGCATCATTTCACCCCTCCTCCTACCTTATTCTTTCCATAAGCCCCATCACCATTCAGAACACTGTAACTTACTTTCTCTATTATCTGTCCTTTGTTATAATGTTATGCCCAGGGAGTAGAATTTAGGCTCTCCTGTTCATTGCTGTGTCCTCAGTACATATATTTTTAAATTTTTATTTATTTTATTTTTGAGACAGTGTCTTACTGTGTAGTTGAAGATGGCCTTAAATCTCAGTCTTTCTGCCTCCACCTTCCAGGTGCTGGGATTATAATTATGCTGTGGCACAGTATATATTTTTTAAATATTTGTTGAATTCACATCCTCTTGTAGGAATATTGAAACGCACTTTTCATAAATAAGTTCCTGTGTTTTATGGATCCCTCACAGGTAAATAGAGTAAAAGTAGAATAGAGGGATTTGTAACTGTAAATGGGAAGTAAAAACTGCAGGGTCCTGAGGTGGGCTCATGGCAGACAAGGAAAGCCTGACAGAGCTCTGTTTTGTTTTGTTTTTTACTACTCACCTGTTCTTAGTTTTTATTTTATTTCCTGCTGTTATATTCTTTTCTTTTGAAAATCTTAGCCTTGTAAATGCCAAGGCTACAAATATGTGCTACCACGCCAAGCCTTGAAAACTCTTTTATAAAAAATACTTTTATTTGATTAACACATACTAATTATACATATTCATGGAGTACAGCATGACATTTCAGTACACGTATACAGTATGTAATGTAAGACCAGGGTAACGTGGATCTATCACCTCAGATATTTTTCTTTTCTTTGTGTTGCTAACATTTAACACCCTTTCTTACTTGTTTTAAAATATTCAGTAATACTTGCCAACTGTAGTTATCCTATTGTACTTAGAAGTTATTCTTGCTATCTAACTATCCCCTATACCATTAACCATCCTCCCTTCTCTATACTCAGGCCCTGCTAACCACTATTTTAATTTTCTAATTATATAAGATCAGCTATTTTAGTTTTCACATATATTATTTGTCTTTCTGTATCTGACTTATTTCACTTAATATAATGCCCTCCAGTACTGACAATTTATTCACTTTTTTTGTGGCTTAAGAGTACTCCATTGTATAAGTCCTATATTCCTTTATCCATTCATCTGCCAGTGAGCACCTAGAGGTTAATTTCCTATCGTGGTTATTGTGAACAGCACTGCAGTAAATATGAGTGCAGATGTCTCTTTATTGTATTGATTTTGATTCCTTTGGGAAACTGTCCAATAGTGGGAATCCTGGATCATAAGGTAATTTTTCTGCTTTTTGGGGAACCTCCAAACTCTTTTCTATAATGGCTCTATTAATTCACATGCTTACTAACAGTATCTTGAGTTCCTCTTTCTTTATATCTTTACTATCATTTTTCTCTTTGACAATAACATTTCAAATTGGGGTAAGATATATCATGGTTTTAATTTACATGAATAGTGATAGGATTATTTTTCATATATTCACCAGCCATTTGTCATTTGCGTACTTTCTTTTGAGAAATGTGTATTCAGGTTGTCTTTTTTTGGTGACAAGGTTTTACTATATAGCCCAGGCTGGCCTGGAATTCACAATTCTCTTGCTTCTACCTCCCAGGTATTATTCATTTGTATTTTTATTTATTTATTTATTTTTGCCAATCCTGGGGCTTGAACTCTGGGCTTGGGCACTGTCCTTGGGCTCCTTTTTGCACAAGACTAGTGTTCTACCACTTTGAGTCACAGCACCACTTCTGTTTTTTTCTGTGATTAATTAGACATAAGAGTCTCATGGACTTTCCTCCCTGGCTGGCTTTGAACTGTGATCCTCAGATCTCAGCCTCCTGAATAGCTAGGATTACAGGCATGGGCCACCACCCTGCTATATATTGCTCATTTTTTTAATTGGATTATTTAAACTTTCTGCCTCTTTGCTATTGGTTTTTTGTTTTCTGCAAATCCTGGGGCTTGAACTCTGGGCTTGGGCACTGTCCCTGAGCTTCTTTTTTGCTCAAGGCTAGCACTCTTATCACTTGAGCCATAATACTACTTCTGGCTTTTTCTGTTTATGTGGCACTGAGGAATCGAACCAGGGCTTCATGCATAATATGTATAATTAGTGTGTGTTAATCAAATAAAATTCATTATATATATTATATTACATTAACTATACTATATATATAAATCCCATGTTGAATGAATAATTTACAAGTTGTCTGTTCACTTTATTGTTTATATTCCTTTGCAGAATTGAGTTTGATACTCCATTTGTCACTTTCTCCTGTTGTTGCTGATACTTTTGAGATTCAAAAACATCTTTCCCAGACCAATATCCTGAAGCATTTCCTTCATATTTTCTTAAATAAAAGTCCTTTTTGTCCCATTGTTTAGAGGAAGATAGCTTCTGGGTCCTTGATACTTTTATGTGCAGTGTGTGGTTCATCTCTTTTCTCATCTTATTTCATGCAAAAGGAGCTCCTGAGCCATGTAACATTTGGATCTCTATGTTTCTTGGGTGTCTGTGTTTCTAATCACTTGTAAAGTGAAATAAAAAAAATCTTGATAATAGCTGAAAGTAGATTTATTTATATATATATATATTTATATATGCAAAACATTGCACCATTAAGCAAACAAGATCCTACCTATCTTGTTTATAAATTTTCACTGTCCAATTTCAAGCTCTAAATGGTTTAATATTCTGCTTTAAAAAATGCCTCCATATTTAACTGTTGGCTCAGGCCAGGCAAAATGAGTCATCTTTGCCATACCACATTGCTATTCCTACACTATGTTTTATTTTTACAATCTTTTTCTTTTTCTTTTTTTAGCTTGGATATATAAGCAGAGTAACGGCAGGAAAAGATAACTATCTTACATTGGTAGACAAAAACATTATGGGGTATATCGCCAGTCTCCATGAGTTGGCTACTACAGAAAGACGGTTCTATTCAAAACTAAGTGATATCAAGTCTCAGATACTCAGGCCTCTTCTTGGTTTAGGTAAGTTGAGACTTCTCCCTAGTCAACCCCAAGTCATGAAAATTCTAGCTCTATCTGTTCTTCCTTATATCATAAACCAATAAAGCCATGCCAGTGCCAATGGCTTACATCTGTAATTCTAATTACTGAAGAGGCTGAGACCTAGAACATGTTGGTTTGAAGTTAGCCCAGGCAGAAAAGTCTGCAAGATGCCATCTTAAATTAACCAGCAAAATACTCAGCTGGAGTCATGATTCAGGTAGTAAAGTGATGGCTGTGAGCAAGAAATTCAGTGAGAATTTGAAAACTACTCTTTTTCTTTTTTAGAAAGAGACAAGATCTCTCTAAGTTACCCAGGTTGACCTTGAACTCCTAGGTTCAAGCAGTCTTCCTGCCTCAGCCTCCCTCAGGGCCTGGGCAATGTCCCTGAGCCTCTTTGTGTTCAAGGCTAGTGCTCTACCACTTGAGCCACAGCACCACTATCAGCTTTTCTGAGTAGTGGAGATAAGAATCTCACAGGTACTTTTCTGCCCTGGCTGGCTTTGAACCTTGAACCTTAGATCTCAGCCTCCTGAGTAGCTAGGATTACAGGCCATGAGCCACTGGCACCCAGCTAAGAAAATCTTTTGAGTTGTGGGTTTTTTCTTTCTTTTCATTCTCTCTACCTCTCCCCCCCCTCCTCCTCTTCCTCCTCCTCCTCCTCCTCCTTCTTTTTCTTCTTCTTCTTCTCTCTCTCTCTCTCTCTCTCTCTCTCTCTCTCGGTACAGGTTCTCTCTCTGTCCTATCCTACTGCTTCTCAAAATACTTCTGCTTTTATTCTGTAGAAAGTAGAGCTTTTAGGATATGTTCAACTGAAAAGGAGAAACTGCATTAGTGAAAGTTGGCCCTAGAATCTGGACTTCCAGGAAACACTCTTGGGCCCACTAGTCCTTAGATATGTTCCATGCTAATTTTTCCTTTTCTTTGGTAAAAGTATACCAGGTAAAGAGTCATTGGGATTTACAAGTCATTAGCGTCTCATTCTACATTAGTGTGACTTGATTAAATCTGGAAACCTGACATGTTTTTGCTTAGTTACAAAGAGGGATTGGGAGTAAGGCTATGTAGAGGTTGAGGTTATAGGTTTACCATAGTACTCAGTTGGATACCACTCTCCAGGTGTACTAGGTACTTGAGTCTATAGGACAGTAGAAAGGAAGGCAGCATAGAGATGGGGCTTGATTGGCATTCAGAAAATGGACAGGGAGTTTTCTTTTATACTCCCTCACCATTTTTTTTTTTTTTTTGGTGCTAGTCTTAGGGCTTGAACTCAGGGCCTAGCACTGCTCCTGAGCTTTTGTGCTCAGGGTTAGTGCTCTACCACTTTGAGCCACAGTGTGATTTTTCAGCTCTTTTAGTAGCTAATGAATTGGAGATAAGTGTCTCAGGGACTTTCCTGTCTGGGCTGGCTTTGAACTGCAATCCTCACATCTCAGCCTTCTGAATAGCTAGGATGAGTAGCCACCAGTGCCCGGCTCCCATGGACCCTTATTAGGATGCAATTTAGGCTAATACTCAGTCCATTTTGCATTAGGAGGATATTGGTTGGTATAGATGGGTCCTTTTTAAAATGGAAAAACATTTACTTTTCACATAACTAATTTACAGTTTTTGTGAATACAATCCCTGTGTAAATTGGGGACTCTGCTTTGTTTTGTTTTTATTATGTTTTGTTGTGTATCGTACAGTCCCTTTCTGAATGTTCCTCTTGTTATTCTGGGACTATCTGTAGGGCTTAGGCAAAGAAAAGGCAGCCCAAACTGAAAGGAAAATGCAGCTTGCCCTTTCCCTGGGCCTGCTTCCTGACTTCTGTTGTCTTACCTGGTCTGCTCATCAGCCTCATTGCTTCTCATAAAGTCTTAGAAATGACGAACTTGGTTTTGGAAAAGACAGATAATATGCTGATGCCATCTGAGTTTTAGATTTTCTTCTCTGCACTGAAGACGTAGCCTTGTAGGGCAAATAGAGTAAGGCTGAGTAGAGCAGAGGTTAGAATAAGAAGTTGGAAATATTATCATAATTACAGAAGTAAATTAAATTAATTCCTGCTGTCACTAATTATATAAATTTAGTGAAATTGTATGAATTATGAAATGGCTTTAGCTCATTTTCAAATTTTAAGGAGTATTTGGCTGATATCATCTGAGAAACTTTTTGTTTGTCTGATTGTTGGTTGATTTGTAAAATCCTGAGATCTTAATACTAGATCTTTTGGGTTAGAATTATAAGATTCCTTTGAATGTGTTTTTAATATATGTCTTAGATGACTGGGTTTGGGTTCCATAGGTAAAAATATACCCCAAAAAGTTAAGTATTCTTAGAAAAGTTCATAATATTGATCTTAGGACTACAAGAAAATATGTCATCATCATTATTTTGTTACAGAAAATTTGGGTACTGTGACTACAGTCCAGCTCTTGCAGGAGGTGGCAAGCCGATTCAGCAAGCTGTGTTACTTAATTGGCCAACATGGAGCCTCACTGAGCAGCTTCCTTCAAGGGGTAAAGGAAGCCAGGAGTTTGGTCATTCTGAAGCATGCAAGTCTCTTCTTGGATAGTTATACAGAGCAAGTATCCAGTCCTGTGTCATGTTCAATCTCTACAGGGTTATTCTGCCAAAGGAGAGCAGGTCCTTAATCAGAAGAGACTAGATTAGGGAGAGTGACAAGGTAATAGAAATTAAAAAGCAGTATTTTAATCTTAAACCAACTATAGTTCTGCATTGCCAAAACTCATTGTTCTTTAAAAGGGGAAAATGGTTTAAAAATAATAAATTCTTATTTTTTTATATTCTAGCATAGTGATTGATAGAGTACTTATTTTCATAAAAGAATTGGAAGCAGTGGTGCAGGCCTTATGAGACTAAGGCTGGAGGATTTTTGAATTTAAGCCCTGCCTGGGCTACATAGGAAGTCCTTCTCTTAAAAACCGAACACCTCTGCAGCCAGCAAAACAAATGTACTACAGTAAATCTGGTCATTTTGTTTTCTTAAGTAAATTATACTAAAATTAGAGGAAAGAAATAACTAATTTTAAGACCAATTGTAAATATGCAGCTACTCTGATGTCTGCATTTTTTTTACTGTTGTATAAATGAACTTAAAAGGACTGACTACATTTGACATAAAAATATTTTCTTGGGCTGGGAAGATGGCTCAGTGGTAGAGCGCTTGCCTTCCATGCCTGAGGCCCTGGGTTCGATTCCTCAGCACCACATAAGCAGAAAAAAAAACGCCGGAAGTGGCGCTGTGGCTCAAGTGGTAGAGCGCTAGCCTTGAGCTGAAGACCTGAGGGACAGTGCCCAGGCCCTGAGTTCAGGCCCCATAACCGACCAAAAAAAAATATATATATTTTCTTAACAAGACCTACCATAGTTATATCCAAGGTTTTTAAACATTTTAAAGTATTTAAAGGCTTAAATATTTTAAATAAAATATCTCAAGTATATTTGATACTTAGCTTAATTTCTTTTTTCTTGATTTACAGTTTGATTCAAAGCATAATTGAGGTCTTATTCTAATGTGCCCTAGACTCTGCTGTCCATATGAAATATGTATTGTCTTTATTCCTTGTTTATTCATACCTCATCCTAATAACAAATACTTAGTACCAGCAAGTGCCAGACACTGCATGGAGCTCCTCATTCACTGTAGCCACAGCATGGTTCAACAAGAAGCACCTGTCCTCAGGGGGTTCATGCTCTACCTGATTTTTGTTAGGTTATTTAAAGCATGAGTAATGTATGCTTGTTATTGAAAACTTAAAGCAAAGATAACCAAAGGGAAATTTAAAGTTGCCCTGCCAATGGAAATAATTCTGTTAATCAGTTTAGTGTTTTTCCTTTCAGAGTTACAAATATAAGGAATTTCAGTTCTAAGCAAATTAAATATACTTAAGACTGTTGTTTGAGATGTACCATCTTGGTTTGAATATTTTAAGTCCCATCTTTCAGACATGAAAATAATAATACAACTTGATACTAACTTTAAAAATTACATTTTTATTTGTGTGAAGAGTTTAGCTTTTATTACTATAATTTTCTTTTGACTTGTATTTATCTAATAATACCTCTATCCATTTCTTTTTCTTTTCTGATACTTTAGGACAGATGCTTGAAAGAAAATTTATTTTGATATCTTGAGCTGCTTTTTGAAACATTTTAGATAGGGCAAATAAAAGTAGACATAGATGCATTTAAAATTATTTTAATTATAAAAAATACCTACGATATATTTTAGGTATAGTAGTATGCAGATTCTATTGCAGTAAAATAACACTTAAACTTACCATAATAAGCCTTTTCAAAGAAAGACTCCAGCATGTGGAGCTGTTATTAGAGAGCCTTTTTCTTCTCTCACAGAATTGGTTGATTGCTAGGCTCAGGATCATGAAAGACATGTAGCTGATTCACATTACTTTATCAACATTTGTTCCCTAGCAGTATGTCATTATTTAATCAGTGTATTCTGATTCTTATGCAAACTCTTTTAACATGCTTCATTACCTCCAGTCCACTTTCTGAAGACTTATTTGAGAAACCTGAAGTGAAGAGAAAATTTTCATTAAAGATCCAACAATTTTAATTATATTTTCTCCAGCTTGTTAAGTTACCACCTAACTTACCTGCTGGGTAAATTCTGGCACTTCTGTTCAACTTCAGGTGTTTTCAGAAATTTCTTTTTTTATACTATTTTTATGAAACTGGTGTTCACTCTTTGCCCCCACCTGCTGTTTTTCTCAGTCCTTTTCAGTTTTTGAATGTTCTGAGACTCATTGGTAAGATTTTAAGATGTTTGTTCTAGACACTTGTTTGAGAACTGTTTGTTCTAGTTTAAATTTCACCATTGATGTAAATTTATTTTCTTCTTCACTTAAGGTATTGTATATCAATTACAAATTTCCTGGTTATGGGCGGATTCCAACTTCTTGCTAAGCCTGCCATGTAAGCAAAACATACACCTTCCAGTTTTCCTTGTAAAACCAAAGATTAAGTTTTATACTGTTTATAAGTTTTATACTGTTGTGTATTTTAAGGGTGATGTGGTTACAGTTACCTAAGTCAGATAATGAGTATATATCTTTTGGGACAGTAGTATCACTCCTTCCCTCACTCTCTCTCAGTTTTTCCCTCTAATTTTTTTTTCATCTAAAAAAGAGAATATGGCTGGAGGCATGGCTTAGTGGTAGAGTACTTGCCTAGCAACCACAAAGCCCTGAGTTCAAATCCCAGTAACTCCAAAATATAAAAAAGAGAATATTCTCTCTCATGTTAGTAAATAGTAAATAATGTCAGAGATGGTTAGAACAAAACATACATTGCATGAATATAAAGTGTTTGCATGTAGCTTTGGGTAAATAATATGAAAACCCTTTGTATGAGACTAATAAGCTTGAACTTCGTTTCTCAAGACATGTTCTAGCAATAAAGGCAAGTTAAAAAAATTCTACCTTAGTAGAAAGTATTTGAGTTGTTTGCTTTTATTCCACATTTAACAAATGCTAAGGTTTGTGCTTTTTTCTTTTATTCTTCTATCCTAATAGGAGTATTAACATCTTTATCTCACTTCTGATTTTAGAAAATGCTTTTTTCACCATTAAAGATGATTTAGTTTTTGTATATATTATTTGCAGGGCTAAACACTCCCATCCTAAAAGTTAGAGAAGGGGCTGGGAATATGGCTTAATGGTAGAGTGCTTGCCTAGCATGCATAAAGCCCTGGGTTTGATTCCTCAGTACTGCATACACAGAAAAAACTGGAAGTAGAGCTGTGGTTCAAGTAGTAGAGTGCTAGCCTTGAGTGAAAGAAGCTCAGGGATTGTGCCCAGGCCCTGAGTTGAAGCCTGAGGACTGGCAAAAAAAAAAAAAAAAAGTTAGAGAAGAGTTGATTTTTTTATTGTTGTTAACGTTTCTAGGCTAGCACAAAAACCTAGGGCTTGCCTTGCACTCTTCTCCTGAACTACAACTCCACTCCTTGAATGATTCTTTTTTCTTTTTTGCTGGTACTGGGCTTGAACTCAGGGTCTAGAGTTGTCCTTTAGCTTTTTTGCTCCAGGCTGGCACTCTACCACTTGAGCCACAGCTCCACTTCAGGCTTTTCTGGTGCTTAGTTGGAGATAAGAGTCTCATGTACTTTCTTGCCTGGGTGGGCTTTGAACTGCAATTCTCAGATCTTAGCCCTCTGGGTAGCTAGGATTGCAGGTCTGCCACCAGCACTCCACTGAGAAGTTCATTTTTTTAAATTTGTTTTAATTTTCATTAGTACCAGGGTTTGAACTCAGGGCGGCAAAGAGTGTCTGGCTTTCTTCCTTTGCTGGTGTTCTACCATTTGAGCCGTGCCTCCAGCAAGACTTTGCTGGCTATTCTGGAGATGGAGTCTCATGGCGTTTTCTGTTCCTTTTCTGATTTTGAACCAGCTCTTCTGGATATCAGCCTTTGGAGTAGCTAGGAGATTATAGTTGTGAATGAATGACTCCAGCTTAATGACACTGGTTTTTCAGTTCTTTTACATTCAGCCTTTCTGTATCATCTTCTAATGTTTTTGTGTATTGTAAGAAGCACATAGATGTACTTTTATAAAAATACTTTATTGTTATTATAAAGATGGTAAATAGAATGACTACAATTACACAAGTCAGGTAATGAGTACATTTCCTTTCATACAGTGTCTTTTTCTCTCTCTCTCTCAGTCCTTCCCTCTATTCCCTCCCTCCCGTCTCTACCCATGGAGTTGTATAGTTCACTTTCATCAGTGTCCAGTAAATTCCACTGCACTTTTCACCCTTTTTCCCTCTAGATGGGCTCTTTAACCAACTTATATTTTTCAGTCAAGCTTCTGGCTTTGACAAGTTCACAATTGTCGAAGTATAAACTTAGAATTGTGGGTTTCATGTTTATAATCTTTTATGTTTTTTTGTCATGGGCTTGAATTCAGCCTGGGATCTGTCCCTGAGCTTTTTCACCTAAGCTCTACCACTTTGAGCCACAGCGCCACTTCCAGTTTTCTGGTGGTTAATTGGAGGTAAGAGCCTCACGGACTTGCCTGTCCAGGCTGGCGTTGAATTGCGTTCTCAAATCTCAGCTTCCTGAGTAGCTAGGATTATAGTGCCCAGCTTTATAATCTTTTTATTGTCTTTTTTTTTTTTGTCAGTTGTAGGTCTTGAACTCTGGGCCTGGGCTCTATCCCTTAGCTCTTCAGCTCAAGGCACACATTCTACCACTTGAACCACAGCTCCACTTCCAGTTTTCTGGTGGTTAATTGGAGATAAGAGTCTCATAGATTTTCCTACCTGGTCTGGTTTTGAACCATGATCCTCAGATCTCAGCCTCCTGAGTAGCTAGGATTATAGGCATGAGCCACCAACACCCTGCTTAATCTTTTTATTATAATGAGTAAAAAAAGCTCTAATGTTGATGAGATGCTGAATAGTAGCCAAACCAATAATTAAAAGTAGAAAGAACACTAATTTTTTTTTTTTTACAAATAATGTTGCTTGAAGAAAACCAAATTTAATCACAGGTAATGCAAAAGTATACAAATATTCTTGGCAATGTAAATGGGAAGCTTGAGGGCTTTGTAGCTAAGAATTATATGCTATATCTATAAAATATTAGCATGATGCCCAGCATATAATTGTGACTCATTCACTGACAAGATGATTCTGTCCTGCCAGTTTTTCTTTATAAATCTTTTTTGTGTCTTGGTCTAGCGAGCATGGTCCAATTATTTTTTTTGAGCAGCACTGAAATTTGTTAATAAAAACTTAAGAATGAGCTCAGTGCTGGTGGCTCACACCTATAATCTTAGCTACTCATGAGGCTGAGACCCAAGAATCATGGCTCAAAGCCAGTTCAGGGAAGAAAGTTCCCAAGACTCTCATCTCCAATTAGCCACCAAAAAAAGCTGGAATTGAAGCAGTAGATTAAGTGGTAGAGCACCAGCCTTCAGTGAAAAAGCTAAGGGACAGCACCCAGGCCCTGAGTGCAAGCCCCGGAACTGGTGTGTGTGTGCGTGTCTGTGTCTCTGTCTGTCTGTCTGTCTGTATGTATGTATGTATGCATGTGCATGTACACACACATAATCATGAAGTCATAAAAAATTGAATATAAAAACTAAATTTTAGCTTCAGTTTGAAATGGTTTTGAAGACCTCAGTATTGAAATCCTTACCTACAATTTGCCTTACTTTTCCTGTTAATTGTGGTACTGATTCTTGAAATTTTTTTTTTTTTTTTAGTTTGCGGCTTGAACTCAGGGTCTGGGTGCTGTCCCTAAGCTATTTTGCTCAAGGCTAGCACTCTACCACTTTGAGCCATGCACCACTTCCAGTTTTAAGTAGTTACTTGGAAATCAGAGTCTAATGGACTAGAAAAGTCCATTAGAAACTGTGATCCTCAAATTTCAGTCTCCTGAGTAGCTAGGATTAAAGAGCTACTGGCATTGGGCCTTTTGCAAATTAAAAAAAAAAAAACCCAATGTCTTTCCTGTCATAAACTGTTAATAGTTAGTGATGAACAATTAAAGGAAAAGAGAAGAATTTAAACCTATTTATCTCCTTGCTAATTCTTGAAGCCAAGATCTAGTTGTTTATCATCCATTGTTCCTGGGATGAAAACAATTAGAGCAATTAAACTTGGAGTTTATTCCTATACTTTGGGCTTTGTAAATGACAGATGTGATGTCATTTGGTCTCTGATTATTCCCTGCATATATGAGATGCATGCTACATTTTTCTAGAACATAGAATCTGTGATTAGCCAATTTTATTAGTCACTATTACTACCATTTGTTACATTTTATATTAAAAATCCTATTTTATGGAGAAATTGTTTACTTACATCTAGGTATTTTAGTGTATTTTTATTTTGTTTTCATTATACTAAAAATGCACATTCTAAACAAAAATACTGAAATTTTCTGTGCTATATTGCACATACTGTGAATGCTACAATGACTAATTGAATCTTTTCTACCTTACCTCTAGTGATTTCCTAAATAAAAACCAGGAATTGTTGCAAGATTTATCAGAGGTGAATGATGAAAATACTCAATTAATGGAAATACTGAATACATTGTTTTTCTTGCCAATCAGACGACTTCATAATTATGCAAAAGTTTTGCTAAAGCTTGCTACTTGCTTTGAAGTGGTAAGTTTCCAGATATATTCCCTTTGGGTATATAGGAAGTTGTCAAGGTTCATGATAATTTGGATTAAGCCACCATAAGATCTCCATTTCTACTGACCTTAATATTGTATGTATCTGATTAAATGCCTTTCTCTTCGGGTAAGTGAAAGCCAAAAATATGACTAGGTAAATATAGTTTCTTTTGCTGTAGATTTAGTTTTCCTTCAGGACTTGATCTACATTGATTGCATTCATTTTATGCAGCTGTTTCTAAAGTTGAAACCCTATTAGGAATGCTACTCACTCAGTAGTTGTCAGAGTTTATGAAATGTGTGCTCAGTATGACTCACACAAAGCTTGGCTCTTTAGAAAAACAATTATTTTTTTTTACTAACATGCATTAATTGTACATGGAGAGAGCATTTCATCCTGACATTTCTATACATATATACAATGTATCCTAACCAAATTTATCCTGTCACTCTCCCTTACTCCCCTGCCCTCTTAAAATAATTTCAACAAGTTTTAATGTCCTATTTTCACACATGCAAACAAACTACTTTTACCATATTATTCTTATTCACCCTCTTTATTAGCCTTCCTCCTCTTTCTGGTACCTACTCTCCCAATAGAGGCTATTTTACCATCTTGTCATAGCTGTTGTATTTTTAGTTTGTATTAATTGCACCAAGGAGTTAGTTTAGCTTTTCAGACATCCATATATTTTGCTTTAATCAGTATAATCTATATTGCTTTTTTTCCTCCACCCACCAATTCCAACTGATCAACAGCTTTCATTAGATTTCTTATGTCATCTTCATACATAGTTGTGATGTATTTCAAAATTATTTACCTTCTTTTTTCCTCGCAAGTATGGCTTTCTCTATGTATATTACATACACACACATACATATGTATATACATGTCCATAAGCATGTATGTCTTTTAGGCTGAGCTTCCACAAATGAGTGAAAACATTTGATATTCAGCCTTTTGACCCTGGTTTATCTTCCTCAACCTGATGCTCTTCAATTTCATCCATTTTCCTGCAAATGATTTCCTTTTTCTTTATAACTGTGGAACATACCATAGTATATATGTATTCCATATTTATTCATTTGTTGTTGGGCACTTCAGCTGATGCCATTATTTGGCTATTGTGAACAGCAGTGTAATAAACATGGTTATACAAGTATTTGGTGGGGGGCATTCATTCCTTCACATATATACTCAATAGTGATATGACAGGGTCATAAGGAAGGCCTATTTTTAGTTTTTTAAAGAGCCTCAATAGTGGTTGCACAAGTTTGCATTCCACGAACAGTATATGAAGGTTCTTTACTCATTCCTCCTCCTCAATCCTTGCTAGCATTTTTCTTTGCTCTTTTGCTATTTAATTTTTTGAGCTATTTGTATATTCTGAATGTTAATCCTTTATCTCTTTCATAGCTGGCAAAGATTTTCCCTTATCCTTTGGATGATCTCTTGGTTCCGATTATTGTTTCTGCTACTATGAAGAAACTTTTTAATTTGTCTCATTTACCAGTTCTTTTGTTTTCTGGGTAATTGGAGTCCTATTCAGAAAGTAATTACCTGTGCTTATAATTTACAGAGTTTTCTTTATGTTTTCCCATAGTAAAGTTTCAGCTCTTAAAGTTTCAGCTCTTACTTTGGTTATTTGATCTATTTGGGCTTTATTTGGATACAGAGTGAGAGATAGTGGTCCAGTTTCAGTCTCCAGCATTCATAAATGTTGCCTATATATTTGTCCCAGCACCATTTGTTGAAGAGATTGTTTTTCTTTCAGTGGATGTTTTTGACTCCTTTCTTGGTCCTCTATTTTGTTCCTTTGGGTTTGGGCTCCATTTTGGTGTTAGTATTAAGCTGTTTGTTACTGTGGCTATATAGTTTAGTTTGATGTCTTGTGATACTACCAACATCAAATTTTTTGGTCAAGATTGCTTTGGCTATTTGGATCCTTTTATGCTATGTAGAATTTTAGAATTTTTTTTTCTATTTTGGGGTATTAATGGAGATTACTTTGAACCTATCGATTGCCTTTGGTAGCATAGCCATTTTCATATTCTGCTAACCCCTGATCATGAGTGGTTTTTCTATTTTCTGATGTCACCTTTAGTTTCCTTCTTCAAAGTTTTACAGTTTTCAGCAGCAGTTTTTCACTTTTTTGGTTAGGTTTATTCTTAGGAATTTTATTATTTTTGAGGCTAATAGATTATTGTCCTGATTTCTTTTTTTTTTTTTGGGGGGGTCCAGTCATGGGGCCTGAACTCTGGGCCTGGGCACTGTCCCTCAGCTCTTCAGCTCAAGGCTAGCGCTCGACCACTTGAGCCACGGCGCCACTTCTGGCTTTTTTCTTTTTGCTTATGTGGTGCTGAGGAATCGAACCCAGGGCCTCAGGCATGCAAGGCAAGTGCTCTACCACTGAGCTACCTTCTCAGCCCATATTGTCCTGATTTCTTTCTCAGCCTGTACATCCCTGGTGAACAGGAAAGCTACTGGTTTTTTTGTGTGTGTCAATTTTGTATCCTGATACCTTTTGCTGAAAGTGCTTAGGGGTCCTGGGGTAGAATCTTTAAGGTTCTTTAGGTATGGGGTCATATTATCTGCAAATAGATACAATTTGACTTCTTTCATATTTGAATTCTTTAATATTTGAATACCTTTACTCTTACCTTACTTCTCTGCCTAGGAATTCTAATACCATATTGAATAACAGTGGAGAGAGTAGATACTCTTTTTTTTTTTCTGACTTTAAGGAAAATGATTTCAGTTTTTCTCCATTTCATAAAATGTTGCCTATATATTTTCCATATAACCTTTATTAAGATCAGGTAGAAAGAGGTCAGGTAGGAAGGTGAGTGAGAATGTTAAAAGGGGTGACAGTGATCAAGAGGCACTGTATTCATAAATTGCTTTGCTGAATGACAACTCCAATGTACAACTACTTAAAAATAATTTAAAAAAGATCAAGTATATTCCTTCTAAGTTTTTTTTTAAATCATAAAAGGATGTTGGATTTTGTCAAAGGCTTTTTCTCTGTCAGTTGAGATGATCATGAGCCTATTTATATGCTACAGTAACATTTATTGATTTACATTTGTTGAGCCATCCTTGCATTGCAGAGATGAAAAAAACTTGATCATGGTATATTAACTTTTTGATGTGTTGTTCAATTTGGTGTACAAGAGTTTTGTTATCAGTATTTTGAGAATTTTGTTATCAGTATTTATAAAAGATGGTTCTATAATTCTCATATATTTGGGGATCATCTTGGAACTCCTTGCTGCCTTTGTGGCCATTATTATTATTATACTAGAGTTTGAATTAACTTTTTGCTTGCTATAGGCATGCACTGAGCCATAACTGCTTTTCTTTTACTGTGTTTCTTTGTTATTTTCTGTCTCCTTGCAGTCTCCTTTGTGGTTTCTGATTTTCTTCCTGGCTTTATTCAAATTCTTACAGTTCTTTTTTTTTTTAAACTTAATTTTATTTAAAGGGTGATGTCAGAGGGATTGGCAGATGCTTCTAGTCCACCATTTTGCCCTGCCTCCCAGCCCTTGTCTTTTTGCCAAATAATAAAAAATTTTGAAAAATCTAAACCAATGCCTCTTTTCTCATTAAAAATAATTTTTGGAAGGGGGTTGTTTTGAAGTAAGGTCTCATTATGTAGCCTAAACTGGTTTAGAACTCCCTGTCCTCCTTTCTCAGCCTCCTGTGTGCAGGAGGACATGCTCAGCTATAAAAATTCTTTTGTTTTGGGAAACATAGTTATTTGTTATTTAAAACCTTATTTGAAATTAATAAATGCTTAAAAGTTTTAAAGTTTTATTTACTAATATGACAATCAATACTTATATACCATATATCAAAATAAAGGGCCTGCAAACCTTGAGGCACCTCCTGCCGTCTCCCAGTTGTCAGCTGTTCTCACCAATAACTGACAGTGTTTGTTCCTTTCCTTCCTTAAGTTATTTCTCTTGTTTCACATTTACATTAGTGGATTTATTCTGAAATGAATTCAGTTCCTTTTCCAGTTCCCTGCAGTCTACCTCTACTGTTCTCAGGGTGAATTTCCTTCCTAAATTAAGTCTTATATAGCTAAATCACACACTGAAGCTGCAGATTCTGGACAATTGTTCTATTCTTTTCTTTCCCTTTAATTATTGGCCTCTAGACATCTCCAGAGTATCAGAAACTGCAGGATTCCAGTTCTTGTTACGAGTCTCTTGCTCTCCATCTCGGCAGGAAAAGAAAAGAAGCAGAGTATACATTGGGTTTCTGGAAGACCTTTCCAGGAAAAATGACGGTAAACCATGCCAGCCATCCTTTGTTACTACCCCAGCAAACATCACCATCACCTAATGTTCCTCACTTGTATATAACAAAACTGTTGTAACAACTCCTTTTTGCAAATGTCTTAGTGTCTATAATAATGGGACTTCTAAATAGCAAAACCCTCCTTCATTTCTAGAAATCCTCTCTGAAGACTTGCCTTTAGTTTGTTTCAGTCTTTTGGGTCATCCTGGGATCCAAGTTTATGAAGTGTTTGGGTCCTGTCTAAACTTAGATTTAACACGTTAGTAAGATATGACCTACAAATTCCCCCAAATGTGATTTGTGTCTGTTTCATTTTCTCTTCCATATTAATTTTTATTGTTTGCTTTATTATTTATTTTTAACTGTAGGATTCCTTGAGGAAGCCAGAGCGCCGGCTGCTGTGTGAAAGCAGTAACCGAGCCCTCTCTCTGCAGCATGCTGGCAGGTTTTCTGTGAATTGGTTCATTCTCTTTAATGATGCCCTCGTCCATGCCCAGGTAGGCTAGTCCCTAACCTGTAAAGAGGCCCTGGAAGGTGGGCTGCTGTATTTACTAACATCACATATTCTGTATCAAAAGTTCATTATGTGATACATGACTGTATAGATTGTGATTCTCTGCAACTTTTTTTGTTGTTGTTGGCCAGTCCTGGGGCTTGAACACAAGGGTTGGGCACTGTCTCTGAACTTATTTTGCTCAAGGCTAGCACTCTACTACCTGAGCCACTGTGCCACTTCAGCTTTTTTTGTGTATGTGGTACTGAGGAATCAAACCCAGGGCTTCATGCATTCTAGGCAAGCCCTCTACCACTAAGCCACATTCCCAGCCCTCTCTGCAACTTTTGAATAAAAGAAATATTTAAGAATAGCTTCTGTGGTATGAGCTGGATATCACACAGCTTTTTTTCTTTTTGGTGTCAGAGATCAAACCATGGTGTTCAAGGTACAGCCTAAGCAGACTTGTTTTTTGCTTTTTGGTGGTCTAGGGTTTGAACTCAGGGCTTCATGCTTGATAGACAGGCATTTTGCTGTTAAAACCATATCTTCAACCCTTTTAGCTCTAGTTATTTTTGAAATAGGATCTTATTGTTTCCCCAGGCTGGCCAGTACTTTGATCCCCCTATTATACTTTACACCATAGCTGTGATGACAGGTGTATACCACCATACTCAGCTATTGATGGAGATGGGATCTTGATGACTTTTTGCTCAGGCTGGCTTAGAACCACAATCTTCTCTATCTCTGCATCCTTGGTAGTTAGGATTATAGTGTCAGTTACTGGCACCACATTAGAGAGCTTTTTTTGTTTTCTGATGTGAGCATGAGTATCAGCCATGTGGAGGTCCTCTCTCTAGGACCTTTTGCAACAGAGACTGCAGGACCACATGGGCTAATGATGAGAACAGGAAGAGGTTCCAGGTTGACATAGACTTCACAGACATGCCTTCATGTTCTCTTTCAGTTCTCCACACACCATGTATTCCCTTTGGCCACACTGTGGGCAGAGCCACTTTCTGAAGAAGCTGGAAGTGTGTAAGTGTGCTTTCTCTTCCTGCCCCATTTCTGTGGTTCTCCATTCTGTACTTAGCTCATTTCCTTAAATGTGAAAAAATACTCAGGAGGGTTGGGAAGCTACCTGCCCATTCTTCAGAAGATTCATTTCCTAGCACATTGGATAGTAAAGTGGCCAAACCTGTGATGATGACAAGTCATGATAAATGGTAGAGGGGCCTCACTATCCTTCACATTCCCGTTGTTAACAGAGAGCAGAGTAATTATATCCTTTTCCCACTGTGAGATGCAAATCTAGGGCATAGCACTTTAATTGACTTCTACTTAAATAGACAACTTTTTGTATAGAGGTATTTTATGACAGGTTATCATACTTACGGTATTTATCCTTGTGAACATTTTAGGAATGGCTTGAAGATAACTACCCCTGAAGAGCAGTTTACTCTGATATCATCAACACCTCAGGAAAAGGTTAGTCCATTATGATACTTTCTTTCAATCTTTGGCCTCTTACAGTAGTAAAGAAGAAATAAAAGTTGTTCTCATTTACAAAAATGACCCACAGTTATGGTAGAGATTTCTTGGGATGTTGAGATGTTGTGAGGTAATAAGGACATTATACCAAAAGACTCTCGACAAGGCAAAGTTTATTTCTGTATAAAAGTGCACCATCAGCCAACATCTGGCAGGCAAGCACACAGAACTGGCAAGCTGGCTGCTCCCCTTTAATCTCCTTAAGCAGCAAGCCCTACCCTTCTGCTTGGAGTGGCCAAACCAAAATTCTCAATCGGCCACAAGATGTGGCTTAATTAACAGGAACAGGATCAACTAAAATTCAATGATTTTGTAACAGGATTTTTGAATTAAAGTGTAACTGGAATAGGATATAATTAAAATATAACCAACTAGGGCCAAACCACCTGACCAAAGCAGGAACTTTTCAGAAAAACAATTTTTCTTTTCAGAAAAATCTTCATTAAGTGAAAACTTTTTTAAAATGAGTTAAAGCCAAGTGCCTGTGGCTCACACCTGTAATCCTAGCTACTCAGGAGCCTGAGATTTGAGGATCACAGTTCCAAAAGTCCAGGCAGAAAAGTACCCATGAGACTCTTATCTCTAATTAACCACTCAAAAATCAGAAGTAGTGCTGTGGCTCAACTGGTAGAGCACTATCTTGAGCACAAAGAGGCTCAGGGACAATGCCCAGGCCCTGAGTTGAAGCCCCAAAACTGATGACACACACCCCGCCCCAAGAAAAAGTGACAATTTTAATCATATAGCAATAAACTGATTTTTTTTTTTGGGTCCGGTTGTGGGGCCTGAACTCTGGGCTTGGGCACTGTCCGTCAGCTCTTCAGCTCAAGGCTAGCACTCTACCACTTGAGCCACAGCGCCACTTCCAGCTTTTTGCTTATGTGGTGCTGAGGAATGGAACCCAGGGCCTCATGCATGCAAGGCAAGCGCTCTACCACTGAGCCAACTTCCCAGCCC